TACGTCTCCTACGTCCACCTCCAGGTCTGCCTCCTGGTCTCCTTCCTCGGAGACTCCCACCAAGGATACCTCCCCCTGCACCTCCAGGTATTCCTGGAGTTTGTAGGCTTCACCATAAGCTCATTTGGCTTTTAGTCCAAATACCAAATACAAGAGCAAATATACTTACTAACGCAAGTATAGTCATTTTGGCTTTTAGTCCAAATACCAAATACAAGAGCAAATATACTTACTAACGCAAGTATATTTTGTCCTGGCATGATGCACCCACCTTTGGTGCCTCCCGTTGGGATCTGCCCCCCCCCGGACTTTTGCCACCAGCTCCTTTGCCAAACCCTGGGGTTTTAAGTGCCCCACCCAACTTGATTCAGCGACCCAAGGTAGAGGATACAAGTGCAGCCACCATTGAGAAGAAAGCCACAACAACCATCAGTGCCAAGCCACAGATCACTAATCCCAAGGCAGAGATTACTCGATTTGTGCCCACTGCATTGAGAGTATGTCGGGAGAATGAAAGGGCGACTGCTGCTTCCCAAAGAAAGTTAGAGGATAATTCTCCTGTGCCTCTTGCCAAAGCAGCACCCAAATCTGGTCCTTCGGTTCCTGTCTCAGTACAAACTAAGGATGATGTCTATGAGGCTTTCATGAAAGAGATGGAAGGGCTCCTGTGACAGCTTTTGATGCCAGAACAGGCCTCTGTTCACAACAGTAGCCCATGGAGAAAGAGGCCCTTTTTAAACTTAGATGAAAGAGCTGCTTCCATTGTCAGTGTATTTTCTAATTTCAGTTCAAGGAATATCCTAAAATTTAGCCTTGTTCAGAATTTCCTGCACATAAAAGAGGGTATTTCATTCAGAATAGATCAGTTATTGAAGCAGTGCTGCTAAAATCCATTCCCTTTCACACAACTATCTTCATCCTGTTTCTTCCCCTTTGGAAATTTGTGATCAGGAGGATCTTAGTTGCTTATTTGTTTTGACTGTCTTCTTATGTGCTGTGGACACTGGAGTAGAGATTTCTGAAAAGCCAGTTTATTTCATCTTGCCTTTTGTGTTTGGGTTACTTTTAATATTTTCCTGTAAAATATTTTGAAATATTGGCCGGGCGTGGCTCAGCTGTAATCCCACTTTGGAGGCCAATGGCGATCACGATCAGGAATCGACATCCTGCTACACGGTGAACCCGTCTCTACTAAAAATACAAATCAGCCGGGCGAGGGCGGGCGCTGTAGTCCAGCTACTCGGGGCTGGCAGGAATGTCTAAACCCGGGAGGCGGAGCTTGCAGTGAGCTGAGATCCGGCCACTGCACCCCGCCTGGGCGACAGAGCAAGACTCTGTCTCAAAAAAAAAAAAAAAAAAAAAAATTTACTTGTTATGAAATAGATCATAATGTCATTTCCTAATACCAGGCAGGATATGTGGGAAGAAAATGTACAATCCTTTGATTAAAATTATTTTGCACTGACATGTATATATACATATATACACACATATACATATATACATATATATTTTATATATATATATATTAGCCAGGTGTGGTGTTGAGCACCTGTAGCCCCATTTACTTGGTGGGGGGCTGAGGCATGAGAATCACTTGAACCTGAGAAGCCGAGGTTGCAGTGAGCTGAGATGGTGCCACTGCACTCCAGCCTGGGGGATAGAGCCAGACCCTGTTAAAAAAAAAAAAAAAAAAAAAAGAGTTTATTTTTCTCTAGAGTCAAATGAATGCCTCTTAGTATCAACAGGGTGGAGCAGTGCCTGATGTATATTTAGTCCTCAGTAAATATTTTTAATAAATTGATGAATATCATAAATAGTATTATTATTCACAATAACATTTTTCTTAATATTTTTATGTGGCAGTTTTCTTACATTATCTCATTTAACACAATATTTCTATAAGGTGGGATTAACATTCTTGTGTTATAAATGAGTAAACTGAAATTTAGAGAGTATAAATAGTTGGTCCAAGTCATAGTAAATGAAAGAATAAACCTAGGTCTTTTGAGTGGTTGATATTTTGCTGATATTTTCTAAGATTTCCTAGTCCCATCTTGAACCTCATTCAGGTACAAATATCTGAGTATTAATGACACTAACATGGTCATTCACACAGTATAAGATGTAAATTTTGTGGTATTATGTGCAGATTTTGAAAGATTTAATAGGAGAAACTTTATACAGTTTATATATTTGTTGATACGTCAAACTAATTATCTAATTTTTATTTGGAAATGAGCTAATTCCTTTGCCACGGGTGGGATCCATAAAGGAGTGGGAGAGGCTGGGGAAACAGTAATCAGTTGGAGTAGATTTTAGTCATCCATTCACAGCAGAAAACCACACACCTTAGACCATGCCAAGATCTACCAAACCATCAATGCACTTAAAATGTTTACTCCTTGATCATTTGATAGTGAAACACGTGGTTTACAGGGTTCATATTATATACTAATCTCGTTTGTTATCATTTAAATAAAAATTCTGGAGCCTTCTTACTGCGGGTCAGCTCTGCACCTGGTCCGTGCTCCATATATTTGCCCTCTCACCAAAAGACTTACACTGATGTTTAAAATGCCAAGAATAGAAAAGTGTCACATATCACTTATCAAGTGATATGGTTTGGCTGTGTCCCCACCCAAATCTCATCTTGAATTCCCATGTGTTGTGGGAGGGACCCGGTGGGAGGTAATCGAATCATGGGCTCAGATCCTTCCCCTGCTGTTCCCCTGATAATAAATAAGTCTCACAAGATCTGATGGTTTTAAAAAGGGTAGTTTCTCTACACAAGCTCTCTTCTGTTGTCTGCCACTATGTGAGATGTGCCTTTTACCTTCCCTTGATTTTGAGGCCTCCCCAGTCACGTGGAACTAACTGTAAGTCCAAAAAACCTCTTTTGTAAATTGCCCGGTCTCAGGTATGTCGTTATCAGCTGTGTGAAAACAAACTAATACATCAAGGGATCATTTCCAGTGAAGATTATTGATTGCTTGCTTGATTGAGATAGGGTCTCGCTCTGTCACCCAGGCTGGAGTGCAATGGTGTGATCATGGCTCACTGCAGCGTTGAACTCCTAAAGCTCAAGCAATCCTCCCATCTCAGACTCCCAATTAGTTGTAACTACAGGTGCACACCACCATGCCCAGCTAATTTTTAAATTTTTTTGTAGAGATGGGGTCTCACGATGTTGCCCAGGGTGGTCTCGATCTCTTGGTTTCAAATGATCCTCCCATCTTGGCCTCTCAAAATGATGGAATAAGCCACCATACCTGGCCCAGTGTAGATTTTAAAAGAAGCAAAACAGAGAAATTAGACATTTCCTGACTTTGAGGACTTTTTTTTTTTGAGTGTCCTGATTATGACAAACAAGGCCTTCATATTGGTTGGAATTATCATGGTATAACCTTTCTAAATACATCTATTTATTCTTCAGAATGTGAGGCAATTGGACATTTTCATCTATTTCTTCAATATATTTTTGTCACAGGTGAGCGATGACTAGCTGGGCCAGTGGTGCAGGGGTAATAGAATTTACCAAGGCAGTTGTAAGTAAAGAAACACAGATTTATTAGAGAAAGTAGGAAAATATCTTGTGAGAAGGCAATGGGCAGACCAGCAGAAGAGAGGTCGACTGCAAGGAAACAAAGGCTTGCTGGAGATTTTATAGGATGGTTCTTGGGTTGATTGATAATGCCAAGGCACCAGAGAGCTTAAATTGCATTCTTCTGTCAGCCAAGGCATTAGATAAATTGAGGCATCTGATGGTAAGCAGGAAGTTTGTGAGTTATGTATGTTATCTGTGCAGGAGGACCATCTATCCTGGGCCATAAAGAAAAGCAGACCTATAGCTCATCTGCCTCCTCTTTTGTTTATATGTCCTGGACCATGAAGACAGGCAGAGTTATAGCTTATTTGCTTTATCTCCTTACTTTCCCTTGCTACCTCCACCAGCCTGACTCCTTTTCCCTAATTAGGGCTCCTCAATATTTACTGAGCACCTACTACAGACTAGCTGTTCCTACTGCTTGGGAATCAGCATTGAACAAATCAAAGGTCCCTGTTCTTGAGAATCTGTGCGTTTTCATGAAAATGTATTGTGTACTTATGGAAAGTGGAAGGAAGAATTTTCAGAAGCATAGGCTGCCTTCCATTTTATTCTCCAATTCCAAAAAATTTAGAAGAGCACAGAAATTCTTACAAAATAGCTTAATATTTAGAGTTAACAGACGATGCCTACAGGTTGTCAGGCATGTTTTAGATACACTAATTTACTCCTTACAAAAACTCTGTGACACGACTTTCAATCTCATTTTATAGGCAAGGAAACTGAGGCAAAGAGAAGTTAAAAAACTCACCCAATGTCATACAAGTTTGCCTGCAGCAGAATCTGGACTTGAACCTGGTTCATTCATCCTCATTGTCTTTGTTCTAACGCACCGCAGGATTCTGTTTTGCTGTAATTGGCCTTAGTCAAAGTCTCACAGAGGGCTCACACCTGTAATCCCAGCAATTTGGGAGGTCGAGGTGGGAGGATTGCTTGAAACCAGGAGTTCAGGACCAGCCTAGGCAACATAGGGAAACCCTTGTCTCTACAAAAAATTAGCTGGCTGTGGTGGTGCACACCTGTGGTCCCAGCTACTGAGGAGGTTAAGGCGGGAGGACTGCTTGAGCCCAGGGGGTTGAGGCAGCAATGAGCTGTGATTGCGCCACTGCACTCCAGACGAGGCAACAGAGGGAGAGTTTTCCTCAAAAAAAAAAAAAAAAAAAAAACACGAAAGACTTAAAATGGATTCAGACTCATAAACTCATTTGATAAGAAGTCTTGTGCATTTTACGAATTTTCCCAAGTGGTCCTGGCTCTATCTTGAAAACTATACAGAAAAATACTATTTCTTCACATGACAAATCCCTTTGATTATTAGCAGAAAGCCATTATTGCCCTTCTTTCCCCTCTCCCAATACTTTTAATGAATTTTTTTTCTCTCTCTCTTTTTTAGGTTAAATGAATTCTTATTCCACAACTATCTAGAAGTAAAAATTACTATAAATTGAATGATGAAAACTTCAGGTCATTCCTTTCAAAGTCGTTTCCAGTGTTGCAGGGAGAAAAAACGCAACCCACAGCCACAACAATAAATGAGGTATGAGATTTAATTCTGGATATTACAGGGAGGCTTAATGAAGCAGAGAAGTGGATTTCCGGAGAAGAGATTAAAGTCTGGAAAAGAAGTATACCTGTCTGGGGATTAAAAAACAAACAACTTTGAACGGTCAAGGAACCTGGAAACCAAGCTCATAAAGGTAACATCTGTGCCCTTAAACTAACTTAAGGTGAGAACATTGAGGTGAGAATGAAATTATTTGGATGAAATGTTGCCATAAAAAATAATTTGCCTTGAAAAAATAATTTTCATACTGAGGATCCAAGGACTCATTATTAGGGAAATTGTAGCAGAAGTAGATCTGGTGTATAGTTCAGACTCTCCAGAGGATAGTTACTTCTGATAAAATGGTAAGTGTGAAAGCACATTAAAAAGTTAAAAATAACTATATAACAACTGTATTTTTGTTTCATGAAAAGTTTTAATTTCAGTGAAATAAAAAGTACCTTTGGCAGCACATAACAGGACTAATAAAATGTTGAAGCGATTTATTTCAAACCCACTTTAATTAGAGCTTAAAAGTTACTTAGATAAACCTGAAATTATGGCTTAAAATGGGGTAAAAAGTGTGTCTAAAAATTTTTCAAGTGTTAAAAATCCCAAACTGAATACACAAGAAACCCCAAGGAAACAATGAGAAAATCTAATGGCTATCTTATTCTTCCAAATCTAATCTTAACATGTATGTTGTGGGTATAATAAATTAAGGCTCCATATAATAAGGTTTTAATTTATTTATAAGATTTTTTAAATGATTAAAATCTAGTAAATAATGAATACATTGGATGTGTATTCACTAATCTAGAGATGAGCGGCAAAGGTAATCTCTTCAGGTTAGGTTTGTTTGGCTACGATATGTATTTTTGAAATTAGAATTAGCAAAATTAGCTCATATGGGATGGAAAAATCGAGAAATAATGTGAATAAAATAGTATATCAGTTTTTCAAGCACGTTAATGCTTTGTGGTCTCAAGTACAGTAACAGCAGCAAATTGGAAAGTAAGTGCAGGGTTGAAAGCAGCAAGCCATAGAGGAGCCCAGTTTTGTATTTTCACACTCAGGTTTCCTCTTATTTGTTTGGCCCTGCACTCTGTCTATTGAGAGTGATACTCTCAGATCTTGTTCAGTTTTCTCTTTTCTATCATTTAGCAGCCTCAACTTTCCTTATATCCACTTCTGTCAAGCTACTATCATTTTTTCTCAAGGTAATGTCTTATATATTCTGTAGTATTGTTTTGTTTATTTAAAAATTTAGCATGTCTTTTTAACTGTATAATGTTTTCTTAAAGACCGTTATTGATCTCATTAGTTCTTTGACTGCAAAGTTTTGAGTTTACTGCTCCTAATTCCATTTTCCCCATACATCTTGTCGTATTTCGTGCAGTTTTGGAGGATGTGAGATTTTTCGGGAAATGCTTGTAACTTCTAATATGGTATGTCCATAAACTTATGACCCTGTTCAAATAGTGGTTGCCATCTATATGGTAAATCTTCCTGAGAAGTCTCAAGTGTACAGTAATGAGTTATCAATTGTTGGACACTAAATCTCAAAAAAGACAAATCCAGTCATAAAAATAGAGTGTCAGAGCAAATATAAACCAGATTATCAGGATACAAATATATTATTACGTTGATATGGAGAGAATAATTGTTTTCATATTCAAATTCATCTTATAAATACTATGTGGTTGATAGTTATATTGAAGATATAATTAACAAATTTAGGTTTGTATAACTCCATAGCCTAAATCAGAAAAAGCATGTTCATTTGTTTTAAATATACACACATTAAAGCATTAAATGATGGTCTTGTATTTAATAGGACAGCTGATTTCTAGTTCTTGGTAAGATAACTTGCTTTTTACTAGAATCATACTAACATCTTCTTTAAGGAAGAGCAGTAGTAATTTAAGAAAGCCTGTATTTTGTAACAAACTTAGACAATTTAAGACATTTTGAGTTCACAGAGAATAAAGATTAGTTAGAAAATAAACTTGTAGGCTTTATACTAAGAAAGAATGCATTAGTAAAATGTAATTAACTAATTATTTCACCATTAACTTCCTTAAGCCTGTTTTTCATCTGTAAATGAGGAGAATAATGATAATAGCCAACTAAAGCATTGTTAAGAGGATTAAATGAGATAATATTGAGCGTTGTAAAGCACTTACTACAGTGGCTGGTCCATAGTAAATCTTCATTTAAAAGTTGGTAATTATTCTAATTGGTAATTAAAAATCCCATTGTTTAGAATGGAGATACATTAATCAATCCTGAGATTTTAATATTTGAGTCATAGACTCTTTATTTTTTGCTACTACAAGGTGTCACTCCTTTAAATTTTCTCTCTGAAAATGATGACTATTTTATAAAGCCAAAATCAGCAACAATGCATGGAGCATCGGGTAAGGCAGTAAGCTAAATGTTAATCTGGAGACAAATAAATGTAAGATACAATCCCTGCAATCAAAGTTTACAATCTGATCTGACATAGGAAAGTTAACACAGGAGACAAAAGCAACAAAAGACGACATTGGAAAGTAACCATTTGGTTTTTCTGCAATGCAATAGTTACTTACATGGTACTGATACTCAGAGAATAGTTTTTACCCTTTCCCCAAGTAAAAATTAACCCTCTCTTAAGCTCTTTATCAAGGTTAGCTAAGTGGTATTATTGTATATAAACATGTTATATACTGCAGAAGCTCCCACATTTTAATGAGTTAACAAGGACTTAATGTTAAGAAAAAAGATAGTTAGAAGATATGTCTGTCATTACAAATATTAAATGCCGAAGACGAAAAGACATAAAAAGCCTCAAGCAAAAAAATATTTCATAGGCATTCTGATATCTTTCACCTGCATTATTGCAAAATTCTGAGTTAGTCTTACCAATTTTAATCTCTTCTGATTCCAGTTCACTTACACATATCTGCTTAGAATAGGTACTTTTCTCTTTTGCAAGAATATGAAGCAATTTTCTGATTAGGATCATATCAGACTTAAGGCCTTCAGGCTTACAATCATGACATCTTATTAAATGGTAAACCACTCTTCTATCTTGTCCTACACTTGAACAAATCTAAGTTTGATGCCATGGCCTACTAAATTTAAAAGAATTCATGAAAAAAGCAAAACAAGGCCAGGTGCGGTGGCTCACGCCCGTCATCTCAGCACTTTGGGAGGCCGAGGCGGGTGGATCACGAGGTCAGGAGTTCAAGACCATGCTGGCCAACATGGTGAAACCTCATCTCTAATAAAAATACAAAAATTAGCCGTTCGTGGTGGTGGACACCTGTAATCCCAGCTACTCAGGAGGCTGAGGCAGGAGAATCACTTGAACTGGGGAGGCAGAGGTTGCAGTGAGCCGAGATTGTGCCACCGCACTTCAGCCTAGGTGACAGAGTGAAACTCCATCTCAAAAAAAACAAAAAACAAAAAACAAAATGGAAGAACAAAAAAGAAAGAGAAAGATACATTATTATTAACTAAAATTCATACTTTATTCAGATTTCCTTAGTTTTCACCTAAGCTCCTTTTTCTATTCCAGGATCCCATCCAGAAAACCGTATTACCTTTAGTTCTCATGTCTCCCTAAACTCCTGTTAGCTGTGACAGTTTCTCAGACATTCCTTGCTTTTAATGAACTTGATGGTTTTGGTGACTACTGGACAGGTAGTTGTAGACTGTCCATTACTTGGGGTTTATATAATGTTTTCCTTGTGATTAGGTTGAGATTATGTGGTTTTTGGAGCAAGACCATGAACATAAAGTACCATTTTCATGCCATCATATCAAGGGTACATAATATCAACATGACATTACTCTTTTTTTGAGTCTCTCTCTGTTGCCCAGGCTGGAGTGTAGTGGCACAATCTCAGCTCACTGCAACTTCTGCCTCCTGGGTTCAAGCAATTCTCCTGCCTTAGCCTCCCAAGTAGCTGGGATTATAGGTGCCTGCTCCCGTGTCCTGCTAATTTTTTGCATTTTTAGTGGAGACGGGGTTTCCCCATGTTAGCCAGGCTGGTCTTGAACTGCTGACCTCAGGTGATCCACCTGCCTCAGCCTCCCAAAGTGCTGGGATTACAGGTGTGAGCCACCACGTCAGGCCCTACGTGACATCCCCCTTAATGTTGATCTTGATCGCCTGGCTGAGATAATCTTTGTCAAGTTTCTCCACTGTACAGTTACTCTTTTTCTTTTAACCTCATTTTATACTGAATCCTTTTGAAGTAAGTCACTATACATAGCTGACACTTAGTGGAAGGAAGTCAGTATGCATAGCCAAAGCTTGAAAATGGGAGTTGTGCTCCACTTCTGAGGGTGGAATAGTTACGTAAATTATGTAGAATTCTTCTGCACAGGAGCTTGATCTCTTCTTTTTGATTTGTTTCATTATTCAATAATGTACGTGTATCAAGATGGATGTGGTGGCTCACGCCTGTGATCCCAGCACATTGGGAGGCTGAGGTGGGCAGATTGCTTGAGCCCAAGAGTTCAAGGACAGCCTGGGCAACATGACAAAACCCACAAAAAAATATAAAAATTAGCCAGGTTTGGTGGCATGTGCCTGTGCTCCCAGCTGTTCCAGAGCCTGAGGCAGAAGGATCACTTGAGCCCAGGAGCTTGAGGCTGTAGTAAGCTGAGATGGTGCCATTGTCACCTGCCTGGATGACAAAGTGAGATCCTGTCTACAAAAAAAAAAAAAAAAGGATATTATTTACGTATACAGGATGAACTGATAGATTTTTATTTTATACTTTGAGGATAATCCTATACTTTATTTTTTTTTTTTTTGAGACAGTCTTGCTCTGTTGCCCAGGCTGGAGTGCAGTGGCATGATCTCGGCTCACTGCCAACCTCTGCCTCCCGGGTTCACACCATTCTCCTGCCTCAGCCTCCAGAGTAGCTGAGACTACAGGCGCCCACCACTATGCCAGCTAATTTTTTTGTATTTTTAGTAGAGACGGGGTTTCACT